AATCTTCTGTACGGTGGTGCTGATATGAGGTTTGACATTTTTGCTCTTTCACAGCTCATGAATGTACAGTAACTCTGTTACTTATCATGGGGACATGGATAACATATCTTTATGGGTGGGCATGGCAAATAAGTCTCTTGCAAGGATATCATATGTCAGATTCTGAGACAAAGTGGTCTTGCCAAATCCTCCACCCAATGAGATGTCATTGATAGTATGCATTCCATTCAGGTTATGAGAACGTCATACTGAGGTGTTGTTCATATCAGAGCTCACCCATTGCTATGTCCAGCATTTTATCATAATAAGACTGTGACTGGCCAGTGGAGGAGAGGAGTTATGTCTTTGAGAGCCACCAAAATGGGAAAACCCTTTTATCTTCAAACATCTAGTGATCTCTTAGTGTCCATCATTTAAGGGGCATTATCCATGTGGTCAGGGAGGAGGAAAAACAATACCATAAACGCAGTCAGACTATTACTTCTTTTGCGTTTTTTGACTATCCAAAATAGCTTGTTTCTTGCCCTGTCAGACTTTGTTGCATGAATGTCATCATCATTGCTAGATCTAAGCAATTACTACAGTGAGTACAATTTTGGCAAAACGAATAGAATTCAACTCCACAAAGAAGAATATACTGGCATTTTCCATAAATAATAGTGAGGAAGTTACAATATGAGTAGCAGGGACACTGGGCAAGGTCAGAGGTATTGGGAATGGATAGAGCATGGAGCAGACTGCTCACCCTTTCCTCCCCCACCTCATTGTTGTGCCCCCTATCCTCTTGTGCATCCAACTTCAATTCCACTTCAATTTTTATCAACCTTCTGCTCGCCTCTCAAGGAGATAGGATTCAAACCCTGACACGAATTAGCCCCCCAGATTGACTTGATACTGCCACACCCAGGGGACGCTACAAGACAAAAAAAGGAGACCCACTTTTTCTCCTCCTTTCCGCTCTTTCACTTCAACCTGTTTCCTATCTCTAGTGCTCTTGCCCTTTACATCCTGTGTCCTTCTATTTCTTATCCTCTCCTCCTCCTTCCTCTGTTCTGTCTCCATCCCTTGCTCTGACCACTCTCCACCTCATCTTGTTTTTCTCCATGTGTGCCTCCTTGTCAGTCAGCTGTCTGAGCGACATTCTACCTCCTCTTTCAATGTGATGGACAGGTGCCGCCGGGTTCTGACGGAGTAATTTGATGGCAAAAACGGGCTGGCGTAAAAAAAAATAAAGGACAGATGGCAGTGAGGCCAAGTGATTGCATTAAGAAAAGGGAGGAGAGAGAGGGAACTGTGTGTTGAGGGATCGAGGCGAAAGAGGAGGGTATTCCATTTCTATTCATCTCCACGGCTGATAGATGGACCACAGACAGTTTCCCTTTTCTCTTTTCCTTCCTCTGACATTTTTGAGGTAGAAGTCATCTGTAGAAGCCAGAGCCGGGTCAGAGGACACACTCCAGATATAAATACCACAGAAAATCTTCACACATTATTCTACTCTACTGTGTACTGTGAATGTAGAGCTTTTTGGAGTCCTGACCCAAGTGGGAGTTAAACCCCTAACCTTTACAGTGTTAGCGATTTTGTTGACCATTTGAGCCACATCACCTCTCTTTATCCCAGTGTCAACCAGTATTATCTTAAGTGAATGGCTTAATACGGTCAAAGACAACACTCACCCATTGAGATGTGTTTTATTGCAACGATGTTTAAACAATTATTAGCAATAGTACATAATTAAAATGTAACTGTTGTAAAAAGTCATGTCTGACTTTTGCACTTAAAATGTTTGCAAAATCCTTGCATTTTAAAAGTCACATTTAGATTGCATTTAATTCTACCTGGAATCTTTCCAATTAAGCCGGTTTTCATGGACTGGAGCCTGAGCAGGTATATCTCATTTGAATTACTTGTCTAGGCAGCCCTGAGGGTCTAGTATTATGATAACGTGTACCATAACTTCTAACTATATGTGCAAAACAACATGAGAAATATTTTCTCATCCCAAGCCATTTTATCGTTGAATACAAGTGAATTAAGTTCAGGAAAATAATTTGTACTGTGTGGAAAAGTCTTTAGATGCATTCAGTATAAACTGGTGCTTCTGGAGAAAAATGGTTGAAATCTTCAAACGTAAATAACAGAGCAATTTTAGCCACACGGCTCATGTTCATGAAACAATTGAAAAAACTGTTTTCACCTTTGCCTACAGCAGGACAGATTATGTTTTTTCTTGTTTTTTTTTAAATTTAGTTTTGACAGAGATATATTTCAACCCAGCATTTCTTTATAGACAGGTCAGTGTACCAGTGGCTTTGACGTCTGTGGGGACTCCTACGCTCCTGCTTATAAAATCAAATCAACTAATCACAGCATAACTAGAGCAAAGAGAAAATAAAGAAATCCCCTGACATCATTTTGAACTAACTCTAGCATATTCAAATATTTTCCATATTTGGCTTCCAGTAACAAGTTTGCAGTGCCATGAGCCTTCTTAGCATCAGTGTTTTCTGCGTACTGTCTGCTCTGTTTTCTGCTCTGCTCGTCATTTTCCCATTCCAAACTGACTTAGAGGAGACTCATCCGACTGTCGAACAATCACTACATTTTTCCGATTAGTCAACACCCATGTAACGTGGGACCACCCCATTCAGGCGTACTTGCATGACAAAACCCACAAACAAAGAACAGCCATCCCATTCATGAGAGACATCATAAATGAGTAACTCCTGTGGTCATGTGTGGCTGTCCAGCCTGCTGGTGATTCCTCACAGATAGTATTGATCTGGGACGCAGACCTCATTCATTACATGCTGACTAGCAGCAGATGAGCTGAGGCTTATTGCTGAGCAGGGCCTTTCTCTGTGTCATCTAGAAAACCACAAGAGTATATTGTAGAAGCCATGCATAAGCAGTGTTGTGCAAGTTACTCAGAAACTGTGATATATTATTTAGTTAGTTATTACTCCTTAAAAAAGTAATATTATTACTTTACTTATTACTGGGTGATAAAAGTAACTAGTTACGTAACTTATTACGTTACTATATTACGAGCGAGCGAGGAGGTGCTGCACGAATACATGCTTCTCAATCACTACCACCCCCTTCACCACCAAACAAAGCTGAATTCTGAATTTTTGGGTAATATCATATTCAACAGCTGCAGCAAGTAAATCCCGACTTTTACTTTTAACAGCTGTTTTACAGCACATGTAGTCTATTTATAAGAGCAGTATTAAGTAGTTACAAAACGCTACGTTAAAGCCACGTTGTAGCCTGTTTATAAGAGCAGTAACGCCACTCTCTCCCGACGAGTCCAAGCATTAGTGGCAGCAGCTGCCGGAGTTTCTTTCTGTGAGTTTCACGTCGCTGTGCTGCTTCTGCAGATGCTTCAATAAATCAGATATAGAAATGTTCGCGGTTGAAAGCTTTTTGTTGGTTTACACGAGCCGACAATGTTCTTTACATCCGACTGTGACACAATAATGGCAGTAGCTACTTCCAGCTGTGGACAGAACACCTTTCTCCCTTCTTCTACTTTCTTCCTTTAGTTTTGGCTACCAGTGGACATGAACAACAAAGCCGCTGAGCTGCCGCACAGTCGTGGATTCACGTCAAGGTTGCTGCGTTCAGTAATGAGTAACGCAGCGTTACTTGCATTAGTAACTGGGAAAAGTAATATTATTACAGTAACGCGTTACTAGGAAGTAAATGTGAAGGTGGGCTGTATGTCTCACTCAGCAGTGTTACATAACACGCAACATTCTCTCACTAAGGTCGGGACACCCAAAAATAATTACGTGATAATACACAATGATGTAGCTGGTGGTATTTTGCTGTAGAGCTGCAACAATTAGTTGATGACATCGACTATAAAAATTTGTAGAGGTGAAATTTCATTGCCCACGCCCACAGAGCGTGGTCCCAGCAGCAACAACAGAGCTGCAGAGACAGAGGAAAGGATGGAGGAAAGTGTTTCCTATACGTTCACTTATTTTTATGAAAGGGGACTGTTGCTTTATTGTTCTAAATAGACATTGTTAGTGTACAGTTGTGGTTATAGTACTTGCTTTGAATTTGCTTTTATTTTATATAGTTCCAAAGCAAAAATCTTTGTTAAAAAGTTAAAAGTTTTAAAGATTGTATAAATCAGAGGATTATAGGAGTTGTCTACGCTGTCTTGTCTTCTTCCCTGGTTTCCCCTTGGCATCGATACTGGTGTTCATTCTGATTAGTAAACCTTGTTCACTTAATGGTGACGTTAGCTAGTTAGGCTGTGTGTTGGAGATCAGTAATTCACGATAAGATATTTAATTAGTCTGACTGTGATTGGCCTGCGATGGACTGGCGACCTGTCCAGGGTGTACCCCGCCTTTCGCCCAATGTAAGCTGGGATTGGCTCCAGCCCCCCGCGACCCTGTACGCAGGATAAGCGGTTGACGATGGATGGATGGATGGATGGACTATGATCATAAAACCTTTATGTAACTCTACCAGAATTGCTGAGTTTCTGAAAAGCTAGCCAGATTTCCATATAAACCTTGTTTGCATACTGTTACAAAAATGTTCTTTAGTTTTCTTGATCAAATGCTTCTGCAATAAGTATCTGTCAGACTTTTGTTCCTTCCACAATCTGCTATTACCAAAACTACACAATCAACATCAACAAGTTAATAATGACTTCTAAACAGTGGCTAACACTGTTATTCTATCTTTATTAAGATGTTGCAATTAATTAAACAATGATGACTGGTGATTCAAACTGCATTAAATCCTTTTTTTGGCCAGCTGGTGGCAGAATAAGCAGGAAATTACACGTTTGACATGAACTTGTAACTTTAACAGTTTCCTATTTACACATCAAGCAGTTACGAGCAACATTATCATCAATTTGGAGTTGTGTTTATGACCCCCTGAAGAATATCATTTCAACATTCACTCTCTTTTAGCTCTGTTTTTGGTCTACCAGCTCCTTACGGAAATACTCTGGCCCTTTAGCTGCTTAACACTCCACTATGTTCACCAGCTAGTCTCTAACTGTATCTGCCTGCTATTTGTGTTATGATTAGGCCTTGCCTCCTTCTTCTTCCTAGTGTTCTCCCTGTGATTCCCTCCCCTGCTGTCTCTGTCTGTCTTGTTTGTCATGTGCTCTGTGTGTGTTCATGGGCGTGTCCAATCCTGGCTCCTGTCCACCTGCAGCGTCTCCCACCTGCGGCTCATCCAGTAATCAACCTGTGCAGTCAAATACTCTGGTTCAGCTCCCACTCTTAGTTCGTCAGTTTACCTCCCGTGGTACAATGGCTTGCAAATTCTTTGCATCTCTGCATTTTTGAATGTTGTTTGTGAACCTTGCCTAATGTCCTGTTTTTGTCCACCTCAGTATCCACCTGAGACGCTGCCCGCCTGCCTACCTGCACCCTGCCTGTCAGCCTGTCAGCAAAGCAATGCTTACTTGTGACCTCTTTTCACGTGTTGCAAATGTCTACAACTTCTATGTAGACATTTAGACACATGTAGACACTTCTATGTAGACATTATGATTTACTGATGCTGATTGATGTTTCAATAAACAAAACACAACAAAAAAAAGTGATTAAAAAATCATTGTGTAGCAGAAATTGTCTTGACAATTTATTAAATTAAAATTTGACACTTTTATGCTGTTATGTTAATGGTTCTTACCCCCATTTTCTTTGCTGTTTTTATCTATGGTTTTATTTTCTAATTTTTTAAGTTCTGTTTTCATCTTTAGTATAGATTTTATAGATGTAATTCATGGAATCCTGAACCTTGGTTTTCTTAGCGTTAAAACTCTCCCACCCTCAGATCTATACTGCTACAAACTGGAAGGGAAACCAGAGTTAGCTGCATGTGGTGTGTCAAGACTTACTCTCACTTGCTCACACAATCTAAGAAATGCAGAGCGATGTTATATAAAGAATGTTGTATGAAACAGAAATACGGAGATGTAAAAGTATAATTACTTTCTGACTTGGTTGTCCTAAGACCTCAAAGACCCCAAATAATTCCCACAGCACAAATTGTTTCTCATATATCTTTGAGTGCAATCTTTTGCATTCAGAAGAATTTACAATAGCTGTGCAGCACGCCGACACATCTGTGAGTGAGCTGAGACATTATTCTGGCCATATGTGATTGGAGCTGGTCAAAATCCTTGCAGACTCTGACAGACACTGACAAGCAGGGTCTGCCTTATACATGCAGCTGTATTTCCCCAGAGAGTCTGTCACATTCCTGCCTCCACAGAGCAACACAACGCCATTTTCAACAGGGGCCCCGGGTCACAAAGAGAAGAGCTCCAATTGCCACCATGAAGCCGTGATTTGGCCTTTCGGTGCCTCATTTTCTTCCCTCTGCCTTTTCTCTTAGGTCCTGGGCTGCAGGAAAAGAATGACGCCTGCTTAACAAAAAAATAATGAATGTCATTTTGAGGCAGACGCGAGAGGAAGTGAGGACATAGTGGGTTAGAGACAAGGGAGGGAAGGAAAAGGGGAAAGGGGGGACGTTGAGGAGGCGAGTATATTACGGAGCTGGCAAATGTGCCCTCATGCCAGGGAGTCAATTTGAGTGAAGCCGTGCAATGTGACATCATTTACTCAGAAATCCCTAATTTGTCAGCATTAATATTTCAGCCCCAGCATTGCCTGTCACAGCATGCCAGAGATGACTGATCAATCTATAAAATGGCCGCAGCTAATTTATTTAATATTTATGTGTAAAGTCATGTGCAGGAGAGCAGCTGAATTTATTCCGCCTTTCTGTGCTCTTACGCCCAAGAACTTTTCTAACAAGATCAGGTCAAAACTAGTATATGGCTGGACATTGTAAGGTCAGTGTGGTATATATGATAGTCAGTGGTTGTATCTATAATGTGAATTCCTGGAAATCAAATATCAATTTGCAATTTTCTGTAGTGTATTTGTTCTTAAGGTGCACTGAAGTAGAACATCACAGTTGCAAGAACAAACCTTTTCACTCATAACTTCACTCTTAAGATGTTTTGTGTGAAAAAGAACATTCTTTTATAATTATATCTATTTTAATTATATTTTAACTTCCCTTGGTTTTTAATTGGTTTCAATCTGCAGGATGTCCCTCGTTTTTCTAAGACTCACTGTTTTGTCAGAGTGATTGTTATTTGGGATGCTTTAACTGTGCACGCTCCCTCATGGAGAGCTGTTTTCTCTCCTGCTCTGCTCTGTGCTGGACTGTTACAGTGTGTAACCTTCGTCTCCGCTTCTCACAGCAGTAGGTGTAATGTTGTTTTCCAGTTTCATTCCCTCATGGTGAATATCAGATACTGTCTCTGTGCCCTCTGTGCACATACTGTATGATATACTGTGATGCACTATTGCACTGGCGAGGTACCGACTGGTTCTTAGTTTCTCGTTAAGTGGGTGTGTGCTTGAGCGTACCGGATGGCGCAGTGGGGTACGGACCTTATCTTGATTTTCGTTCTCAACTAAACTTATACACAAAGGCGAGACCAAGGTGGGGCCAGTGGGCGTGCACTAAAAGTTTTCAGTGCTGCGAGAGCAGTGAACCTACTAGCAATAGCCATAGAGGGCTGCGCCTATAGTCATTCAATCTGGAGTCACAGTACGTAACTAACATTCAATTTTGTTCGTGCCTATTTTAAAATAACAATGCCCAAAGAGGAAACTCCTCGAAACACTCGACCAACCAGTGGTGTAACTTCATCACTCACTCACTCAGATAGTCACAGACTTGGCAGACTGGCTTCATTTTTTATTTTTATTTTAACCTTACAGAGAATGTGAGAAATGTTGCTATACAACATGTAATGCTGCACACAAATATGCCAAGCTTTGTTTACATTAGAGTAAGTCCCTTGACTTTTCTAGCCAATTAGAAATGAACAGGTATGAGGTGAGTTGGACAATGACACAGACTGATGGGAGGAGAATATTAGTCATGTTTTACCCAGTGTATTTAAAAAAAATTTCTGAACTGCACCACTCTGTTTGCATTTAAATGTTCTTATTTCCAGAATTCATCATCTCAAGTGTGCAGCAGACTGAAAGCGCACATAAAAAGAAAAATCTTAAATTGCAATTTTTGTAAGTTAGTAAGTTATTTCATAATTTTCATTATAAGTGGAGTTTTTTTGTCAAACTTCTCTCTTCTTGTTTTATGCACTTATGCATTTGTAATGTTGCAGTATAGATATAGTGGATTCAGACTTTTTGCTTTGTTGGGAAATTTTGTATATAAATCTTTCATCCATTAAGTCTATTTTAGGACAATTATTGTGTCATTTTTGTACATTAAGGGTCTGTTTGTGGATAGTAAGGGTTGTCTCCTTATTGTAAGAGGAGGTGTCACTTTTATGTCTGTATACTGTATAGCCTGTGTATTCCTTAAAATGGACATTCACATGGTTAACGTTTTGGGACCCTGCAATATAAGGTGTGCAGACCACTTCTGTTTACTTTTCTATGCCCATGTTTTGTTCCTGTTCCTAATATGTACAAATTAACCACCTTCTTTGCCTCTAATCTTTCATCGCTTGCCTTATTTTTGTGTTTTTACTTCTGTTATATATTTTAAGTCACCATTTGAGTTGCTTGTTTTGCACCAATTAAATTCTGACCACGGCCATATCAATTCACCCAGCATATTTAAAGTTTTGTTAGCACTTTAAGTGTGTATCAGCTACGACGCTCTACTGTAATGTAGTGTGTATGGGTGTGAAAAATACAATTTGCAGACTTTCAGTTGGTGTACGGGTGTCACTTTTATCATACATGATGAGTGTGGAACTGCTCCTTCAGGACATAGTTGATGTGTTGTTCAGGTGCTGACCTCTAGAATCTCAGTCAACTTAATCATTTTGTATGATTCAGCTCTTTATTAGTTCACCCTTTTCCCTTTGTTAGGTGCTTTTTTTCTTTTTACCTGTATTTTACCAGGAAAGTCCCATTGAGACAATCTCTTTTACAAGTGAGACCTGGCCAAGAAGGCACCACAATCAAAATACATTACAAGAAGAAACAGCGCAATTAAAATAAAATACAATACAGTTCAAAAGACACAAGCATTTGGAGTCATACATAGAGAATACATATCCAAACAGAGTGACAGATGCATACATGTAACCAGCATAACTTAATGGGCTAAGTATTAAAACAGATGCATGCATCAGTTGAGATTTCTGATATCTTTTTTGTAGGCAGCCAAGGAGATGAGTGTGCCAAGCTTAAGTTTAACTTGGAGTTCATTCCAAGACCAGGGGCTGTGTATTATTAATATAATACATGTTGGAAATGAACTGTTCCATGTTTATGGTTCATATATAGAACCTCCTTATTCTAGACAGTTGAACATGATGTATCTAAGTGCCTAAACAGAAGTGGCAGCTATTCTCCTTCAATAAATGTGAATCGTCTTAAAGCCCCTCCTAATCTGTGTTTATGACTGTGTTTGCAGGACCTTCTGTGTCATTGTCTTATTCCATACATTGCTCACAGAATGATGCCTTCTGTGGGGATAAATTTTTAGCATAACCCGCATTGTAGGCAATTATTTACTGACTTGTGATGGTAAAATCCCTCCATTTTCTGCTTTTGTTGGCAGCAGCACTGCACATTTACACAATAGGCATTTAGCACGGACAGCATAATTATGACAGCACACTGGGGCTGAAAGTGCTGGGACAGCGCCAAGGCAAAAGCCGCTCAAACCCTCATCCTTCAATGTCGCCCATGAAGATCATTATGAATGAAAATTAGTGCTGGTGGGACGCGGTGGCGCTGTAGAAAAACACCATGGCAGAGTGTTGGGAGCACGGCTTCCCTGTACGCTAGGACATTACCGCCATAGCAATCTGAAGTATCTCTGAATGCATACAAGTTATATACTGTATTATGCTTCTTACACTTGAATTGTAACAAGGAAAATGACTGCTGCTGAGAGAGAGTGTGACGTCACTCCAAACCTTGATCTTTCCCGAATCTTAACAAAAGTTATTTTAATGCTTAAATGCACCGCTCGCCCCTCTCTTTCCAAGTGAGCAGGAGAAGCTATGGTGTAGGACTTGCTCTGTCTGCTCTTGTGCTAAATAATACGTGTGGTCCTCTATTTGTCCAAATTCCTCTTCTTTTCTTACTTCTAATAAACCAGACAACAACTACTACTGGTACTACTAACGCTACTTGTTCTTCATAAATATTAAATGTAGTGACGAAATGCGCTCTGTAGAAACATGGCGACGTCTATGTAAGAGGACTCGCCATCTACTGCATGTAAAGTAGTATATAAAGGTTAGCAATGTGTGCTCTTTAGTTAATAAAAAAAATTATAAAAAATTTAAAATAAGAAAGTTGGGTGGGTTCGTAAGAGGGGTGTGAAATTGGGGGTTTGTATTTGGGCATGTCTGGTCTTATCCTCTAATAGAGGTGGTGGGGGGTTGATCAAAAGGTGAAGACAGGTGTGAAAAGGGGGTTTGTGTATGTGGGGGGATGTCCGGTTTTATCCTCTAAAAGCGGATGTTGAGGTTTGGGAGTGGCTTTAGCAGTCAGTTGTGTATATATAGCAGGCTAGTTTTTGACTTACATCTGACCTCGAGCGTGGAACAGGGTGACTGAAC